CGGGAGGAGGGGGCAAATGGGATCGGGCAGAGGGCAGAAGAGGGCAGAATAGGAAGGGGAAGGGAGGACGAGGCAGAGGGATATGGGGAGCAGGGGGGAGAATGGGAAACATGATAGGGTAGAGGGAGGGGGGGGCAGATGGGATGAGGGGGAACGGGAGGAGGATGGCAAATGGGATAGTGAGGGGAGGGGGGACGGGCAGCATTGGATAAGGTGAGAGGGAGCGAGGCACGATGGGATTATGGGACGGGAGGAGGGGGCAAATGGGATAGGGGAGGAGTGGGGGAGGGGGGCATATATGGGAGGTATAGAAGGAGGGAGGAGGGACAGATGGGATAGGGAAAGGGGCAGAGAGGGAAGATTTAGGATAGAAGGAGGGAGGAGGGGGTAAGATGGGAATATGGGAGAGGGGCAGAGAGGACAGATAGGGATGAGGGGGAAGGGGAGGGAGAGGAAGAGATGGGATAGGGGGAGGGGGGTGGTAAGCGCATGGAGACCATCAGGATGACAAAGGGAGTTTCCAATACATTTGACTGTGGAGGAATAGGTATCGATGGATCGATCGGAAAGAGGATAAAGTTATAGATAGATAAGCAGGTAGACAGGTAGGTAAGATGGAGCAGATAGATAGATGAATTAGTAGATATAGATAGGTAGGTAGATATATACATATATACATACTATATACATAACAGTACATATGCATGCATACATACATACATTACATACATACATGCATACATACATATCAATGCATATATACATACATACATACATACATACATGCATATATACATACATACATGCATACATACATGCATGCATATATACATACATACATGCATACATATATACATGCATATATACATACATGCATACATATATACATGCATATATACATACATACATACATACATTCATATATACATGAATACTTACATGGGTGTATGGATAAAAGGAGGATAGAGACAAATATAGATGGATATATAGACAGATATATAGATGTATGGACCAAGAGGACGAGGTATAGATGTAGAGCGATATAAAGGGATAAATAGATAGAAAATGAGGGAGGGTCAGAATAAAACAGATATAGAGAAAAAGATAAAAAGACCGGTTAATAGCGATAGAGAGAGAGAGAGAGAGAGAGCGAGAGAGAGAGAGAGAGAAGAGAGAGAGAGAAGAGAGGTGAGTGGAGTGTGTGCGTGTGTACGTATGTATGTATGTATATATATGTGTGTGTGTGTATGCGATTGTGTGTATGTATTTATGTATGTATATAAGTATGTATGTGTGTGTGTGTGTGGCTGCCTACCTGTACATATGTGTCCGTATCTGCCTGTCTGTCCATGTTTGTGAATGTAACCACGTATGTCTGTACATGTATGTGAGACAGAGAGAGAAAGAGAGAGAAAAGTGAGATTCATCCCCACATGCTCATAGCCGCGACCCACACAATCTTTGCTCCTTCCACCCACAATAGGCGGTGTCACAGAAAACGAGAGAGATTTTTCTTTCAAGTCGTTCGAAAGAAAACGGAGTGTTCATCTCTTTGGTTTTCTTTGGCCTCGATTCTCAAATTTGAAAATAAGACTGATTGATGCTTGTGCCTTACTCCCCCACCCCCCCATCCCCATTTTTTTTTTTTTTTTTTGGGGGGGGTGGAAGGGCTTTTTCTGATCTCTTTTTTTTTCTCTTTGGGCTTCTCCATCTCTGTTTCGTCTATCTCCTTGTGCTCCCTTCAACTTTCGCTTTCTTTGCACCATCTCTCTCTCTTTCTCCCATTCTCTTCCAGTTACCACCGCGTTATCAATTGTTCCAGTAATTCTATTTTTTCTCTCTTCTTCACTTTTTTCTCTCTCACACGTTTGCTTCTAATTTCCCGTTATCTGTTAGCTTTCTTTTTCCGCTCATTCTATTCCTTTACACTTTCTTCCAGACCTCTCTTTCTCAACATTCTCTCCCAGTTCCCCGTTATCAAATCTTCTCTGACCTTTCATTCTCTTTCTCTACACTTTCTTTCAATTAATTTCTTTCCATTTATTCTCTGTGTAGTCTCTTTCAATTCCCCTCTCCTCTCTTCTCTCATTTCTTTTCATTTATTATCTCCGTAGTCTATCTCAATTCCCTTCTCTTCTATTATTCCCTCCCATTCCCTCTCTTCGTAGTCTCTTTCAATCCCCCTTTTCTTTTTTTTCCGTTCCCTCTCATTCTCTCTCTCCGTAATCTCTTTCAATTCCCCTTTCGTCTCTTCTACCATTCCATTCCATTCCCTCCCTTCGTAGTCTCTTTCAATTAACCTCTTCTCTCTTCTCCCATCCCCTCCCATTCGCTCCCTCCCGTCTCTCTCGGTCCCCTTCTCTCTTCTTCCCATTCCCTCTCTCCGTAGTCTCAAGTTTCCCTCTTCGCCTTCTCCCATCCCCTCCATCCCCTCCCATCCCCTTTTTCCGTAGTCTCTCTCAAGTCCCCTCTCCTTTCCTCTTTTAGTCCCTTCCATTCCCTCTCTCAATTCATTTCTCTCTTCTTCCATTCCCTCTCTTCCCAGTCTCTTTTAATTCCTCTCTCCTCTCTTCTCCCATCCTCTCCCATTCCCTCTCTCCATAGTGTCTCTCTATTCCCTTCTCTCTTCTCCCATCCCTTCCCATTCCTTCTCCCCCAGTCTCTTTCAAGTTGCCTCTTCTGTCCTCTCCCCTTTCCTCCCATTCCTCCTCTCAATTCATTTCTCTCTTCTTCCATTCCCTCTCTCCCCAGTCTCTCTCAATTCCCCTCTTCTCTCTTCTCCCCTCCCCTCCCATTCCCTCTCTCCGTAGTCTCTTTCAATTCCCCTCTTCTCCATTCTCCCATTTCCCCCTTTCTTATTCCGGTCCCCCAATAAAATTATTTGTAATAACATAAGTTCGAATGAAATAATCTTCAATATTACGATTCTAAACCTCTATTTTGAACGCAAGAGCAAATGTTCGAGGTAATATATATATATTTTTTTACTTTATATAATGTTCTTTTTCTATTTTTAGATCTCTTGCTATCGTTCTCTCTCTCCCTCTTACAGTCTTATTTTTTCCTCATTTCTCCTTTTTACTTTGTTTCTCTTTTATTTTTGCTTTTGTTTTTGTTTTTATTTTTTATTTTCTTTCTCTAACTTCTTATTTTCTCATTCTCTATTCATTTCCCTTCCCCCACTTTCCTTTCTCTTTTTCTCTCTTGTTCCTTCTCTCCCTCTGTCCGCTTCCCCTTTTTATCTTCCCCTTCCTTCTTCTCCTTTTGTTATATGAGATTGTACATAGAGAAAAGATGAATTTAGGAGGTGGAAAGGAGGCGTTAGCCATGTTTGACAAGGGAATGAATATATATTGAAAGTCAGTCATAAAAAATGAATCATCAGGTGAGAAGCAGAAAGAGAGAGGGAAAGGAGAAGAGAGAGAGGAGAGAGGGGGAAAGGAGAGAGAGGAGAGGGGAGGGGAGAGAGGGAGAGAGAGAGGAGAGAGGAGAGAGAGAGAAGAGAGAGAGAGAGAGAGAGAGAGAGACAGAACGGACGGAGAGAGGAGGAAAGAGAGAGAGAGAGAGGAGGAGAAAGATTATATATTTATATATATATATATATATATATATATATATATATATATATATATATATAATATATATATATATATTGTCTGCACGTGCGTGTGTGTTAATGCGTTTGTGTCTGTATGTGCATGTGCGTGTGTGTTTGTGTCTATGCATGCATGTGTGTATGTGTGTGTATGCATAATATGTATGTATGTTTGCACATGCATATATACATACACATATTTACATATCTATCTATATACATATGTATGCATGGAAGCCTACGCAAATTGATACATATACCCTACTTCTTATCCCATAAGGATACTCCATATCAATAAATGGAAACCAAACCAAAGTAAGAAAAGAAAAGAAAAACACAAACTGAACAGATAACGATGAAGAACAAAAGAAAAAAGTGACAGAGAACGAACAAGAAAAAGGGAAAGAACAAAAGAAAAGAGACACAGAGAA